AGGACACCCTCGGATCGCTTGCCAAATGGCCTCATCAGCTAAGCGAGAACAGCAACAGCTTCACCAAGACCATATTTCACTCCCTATTCATTATCCCTCAGTTACCAATGCACCTGTGTGGCTATCAAATGCCCACTCATTTTCCAGTTATTCCCACTGTCCTGATTCACCTTTATCTCCTGAAGTATACTCTTCGCCTGTGTATGAATCTATCGAAACATCGACTAACGCCTCCGTTCCTGACAATCCTGGCAATGGATTTGCTCTGAGAGCCGTGCACCCTAGTTGGAAGCATTCTTACTCATTTGGAAGAAGCTGGAGGCCTAACGCTGGCTTTCTTGGAACTCTAGAAAGCAAATGTGTTGGCGGACCTATCGATCTTAATAGTCTTCGCGAAGAGGATGAAGCCGAGACAGACACCAAGGTTGGATCTCGTGGCGTCGGGGTAGCTGTTTCTGACTCGTCACTTTCTTCTGATGTCATAAATCTTTTCTGGACCCAGCAATGTCACCAATTCGAGCAAGTTGAAGCGTCGGCCAACCCTATAGTCGAGCTCGGTCCAACAACCAAACTGGCAACATGTGTAGATGGCCCATCCGGCACAATCCCTTCAGATTGTCGATCTGTTGTTTGCTCTGAGGCCATAAAGGTCGAATCTGGTTCCGGCTTTGCTGATCTTGGCCAACTAAGGACTAATGAGCAAGTTCTCGGCCCAGCTCTAGAGAAGAATATCAAGCCAGATTGCAGCGAGATCCTCATCGAAAGCAATAAGTATCCTGTCAACTGTTCCACTCTCCTTCATTCACACCCTATAGATTCCGAAAGTTTATCTAAGGCTTCTTGTGTTGTTCTAGCACCGAATATTGATCACCCTCTGCAAACATCTTCCTCTCCCTCAGCATGCTCTATTCTCTATCCTTCACTTTCCTCATCTTCCCTTAACTCTTTCTTTCCTTCTTTCTCTATCTCTTCATCCTTGCCTTTGGTGCAACCTTCCTCAACTTCATGGACTAAAAAATGTGCAGCTGTGCCAAGCTCTAACCGAGTCTTGGCATCATTTGGATCTTCGGCTGGTGACACTAGCGATCGTGTTACCTTCTTGCACTCAACTAGCCTGATTTCTTGGGATCCAAAAGTATCTTGCTCTGGGACCCCTGCTAATTCAAAGACACCTGCTGTAACCGGCTTGTCCATTCTACCTTGCAAAAAGTCGGCGCGTCGCAACCCTTGGGGTTCGGAGACCTATTCAGATTTGATCTCTAATGCGATTCACTTTTATCCAGAACAGCAAGCAACACTGCAGCAAATCTATGATTTCATCATCAATCGGTATTCCTACTTCCGTGAGCGCAGCGATCCTTCAAGTTCATCCGGATGGAAGGTAAGTCTTGAAACTAGCTCAGTAGTTTTCCAAATTCCATCTACTTTCGCGAATTAATATGCTCTTATGTCGGCAATACCGTTAATTTCTCTGTGATTCCTTCAGTTATTTAATATCATTTTGAATGCTTTTTTTGACATGTTTTCTTCAAAAAATTATTTTGTTGATATCCAAATTGACAGTTGCAAAGCCAAGAATGCTGAATCGTTTTTTTAATAGTATGATCTTAATTTTTCTAGCTCTTGTCTCATAATTTGCTCGTTATCAGTATAAATTATTTTCCTCATCAACAACCAAACTATAAATGTGATATGAGAGAGAACTGACTTTCTTTAAAATTCATATTTACTTTGTGACCCACTGACACTCGTGACAGCGTGGCGTAGTACTAAAATGTCGACATTATACGTTGCAATAATTGATTTCGATTCCCGTTGAGGGCGCAAATGAGACCCTTGAGTGGTCAAAACTGCTGCGACCCAGACAGGAAGCAAGGCTAAATTCAATTAAATTTTACTTTAAGGACTACGCCTAAAATTATATAAAAATTCAATTATTATTCCTTAATCATCTTATGTCACCTAGGTTGATTAAGAGTTGTTTTCTCGAAGACTGCCCATTTCGAGTTTATCATTTTAATTCTTGGTAGTCCAATTTAAATTAACCTTTTTACTATTCCTTTCATACATGGTACAATGCTGCATGCCATTGCGACCATTGCATTGATTCAAAGTAGGCCTGAGTACTTGTACTGACGCTTTACATCCTTTTTCAGCATTAATAAGACATATTTACAGTGTACTTATTCTATGAATAGACAGTTGAAAGATTCGAGAACGGTTACTGAAGTAGCTCTGAGCTTGATGTATATAACGCTTG